CATTCTCTCTAAATAACCAAACCACCTCAACAACCCCTCTTCAGCCCTCTGACTAAAACTTTTATTAACTCCACACCTTCTCCTAATTTCCACACTCCAAATTTTCTGCATAATATTTACACCACACATTGCCCTTAGACAGGACATCTCCAACTGCCTCCTCGCTGCAGCATTTACAACACAAGCGTCACACCCATATAAGTGTTGGTACTACTATACTTTCATACATTCCCTTCTTTGCCTCCATAGATAACATTTTTTGTCTCCACATATACCTCAATGCACCACTCACCTTTTTTCCTTCATCAATTCTATGATTAACCTCGTCCTTCATAAATCCATCCGCTGGCACGTCGACTCCCAAATATATGAAAACATTCACTTCTTCCATGCTCCTCCTCCCCAATTTGATATCCAATTTTTCTTTATCTAAATATTTTGATGCCCTCATCACCTTACTCTTTTCTATGTTCACTTTCAACTTTCTACCTTTACACACTCCCAAATTCATCCACCAACCTTGGCAATTTTTCTTTAGAATCTCCCATAAGCACAGTATCATCAGCACATAAAAACTCTTTACAGCATTTAGAAACTTACCACCTATTCCATATACTTGCAACATCTGCCACATTGCACCCCTATCCACTATCATATGCCTTTTCTAAATCCATAAATGCAATAAAAACTTCCCTACATTTGTCTAAATACTTTTCACACATATGCTTCAATGTAAACACTTGATTTACACATCCCCTACCCACTCTAAAACCTCCTTGCTCATCCGCAATTCTACATTCTGTCTTACCTCTAATTCTTTCAATAATAACCCTACCGTACACTTTTCCTGGTATACTCAGTAAACTTATTCCTCTATAATTTTTACAATCTCTTTTGTCCGCCTTCCCTTTATATAAAGGGACTATATAAATACTGATCATATATATGCTTCAATGTAAACACTTGATCTGCACATCCCCTACCCACTCTAAAACCTCCTTGCTCATCTGCAATTCTACATTCTGTCTTACCTCTAATTCTTTCAATAATAACCCTACCGTACACTTTTCCTGGTATACTCAGTAAACTTATTCCTCTCTAATTTTTACAATCTCTTTTGTCCGCCTTCCCTTTATATAAAGCGACTATACACACTCTCTGCCAATCCCTAGGTACCTTCCCCTCTTTCATACATTTATTAAACAAAAATACCAACCACTCCAACACTATATCCCCTCCTGCTTTTAACATTTCTGTCAGGATCCCGTCAGTTCCAGCTGCTTTACCCCCTTTCATTCTACGTAATGCTTCACGCACCTCCCCCACACTCTCATCCTGCTCTTCTTCACTCCTAAAAGATGGTATACCTCCCTGGCCAGTGCATGAAATTACCACCTCCCTTTCTTCGTCGACATTTATAAGTTCCTCAAAATATTCTCGCCATCTACCCAATACCTCCATCTCCCCATTTACTAACTCCCCTACACTGTTTTTTAACTGACAAATCATTCGTTCCTTAGGCTTTCTTAACTTTTTTAACTCCAAATTTTTTTCCTATTTTCATTAAAATTTCTTGACAGTGACTCTCCCACTCTATCATCTGCTCTCCTTTTTCACTCTCTCACCACTCTCTTCACCTTTCTTTTACTCTCCATATACTCTACTCTTCTTACAATACTTCTACTTTGTAAAAACCTCTCATAAGCTACCTTTTGCTCTTTTATCACACCCTTTACTTCATCATTCCACCAATCACTCCTCTTTCCTCCTGCACCCACCCTCCTATAACCACAAACTTCTGCCCCACATTCTAATACTGCATTTTTAAAACTATTCGAACCCTGTTCAACCCCCCCACTACTCATACTTGTACCAGCCCACCTTTCTGCCAATAGTTGCTTATATCTCACCTGAACTTCCTCCTCCCTTATTTTATTCACTTTCACCTCCCTCTTACTTCTTGTTGCCATTTTCCTCTTGTCCCATCTACCTCTTACTCTAACTGTAGCTACAACTAAATAATGATCCGATATACCAGTTGCCCCCTCTATAAACGTGTACATCCTGTAGCCTACCCATCAACCTTTTATCCACCAATATATAATCTAACAAACTACTTTCATTACGTGCTATATCATACCTTTTATATTTATCCTCTTATTCATAAAATATGTATTACTTATTACCAAACCTCTTTCTACACATAGCTCAATTGAAGGCTCCCCATTTTCATTTACCCCTGGCACCCCAAATTTACCTACTACTCCCTCCACAATATTTTTACCCACTTAAAGCATTGAAATCCCTAACCACAAATACTCTCATACTTGGTTCAAAACTCTCCACGCATTCACTCAACATTTCCCAAAATCTCTCTCTACACTTCTCTCTTCTCCAGGTGAATATACACTTACTATAACCTACTTTTCATATCCAACCTTTATTTTACTCCACATAATCTTTGAATTAATACATTTGTAGTCCCTCTTTTCCTGCCATAGCTTATCCTTCAACATTATTGCTACTCCTTCTTTAGCTCTATTTGAAACCCCTGATCTAATCCCATTTATTCCTCTCCACTGAAACTCTCCCACCCCCTTCAGCTTTGTTTCACTTAAAGCCAGGACATCCAGCTTCTTCTCATTCATAACATCCACAATCATCTCTTTTTTATCATTCGCACAACATCCACGCACATTCAGACATTTTTGATGCCTAAAAAATGCCCAAAAAAAATTTTGAAATACAGTACTGTATCCTAATATATCAAAAGAGAAAATATGATCTATATTTACATTCTGATAAATGTTTCTTGTTGACAGAGAAGTGTGTGTGGAGAGGGTTGACATGTAGTAGGTTTATCAAATCAGCAACAGGTACACATGTAAACACTGTAAAAATAAAAAACATTTCCTCACAAAACACACTAAACCAAACCATATAAAAATTTGCCACATCCTTAACAGGTACTGTATGTGCTAATGACAAATGCATTGAAGAAAGTAACAGCCAAGGAAAATGCAGGAGGATTGTAATTAAAGTGTAAGTGGTGACAGATGTTGCTTTTAAGGGCTATGATGACTTGAGCCATAGAAACCCTGCTTCCAACAGTACTGTAGGATGTATCTGGGAGACGTACATGTACCATCTGACCTACAACTGAGCCTGATTCCGGCCACCTGGACATAAGTCAAAATGGATGCAAGTCGAAATTTAGAAAATTACCGACATGCTGGGTAGGGCATAATGCCAAACCTCTGCTATATAAAGTACGTACACAGTATCATATGTTACTTTTTGCTAAATATTTTACTTCTAACCAAACACAGCATTTTTTTCCATCTCAGCAATTGGGCCTTCACATTTCTTAGTGATAATTGTCGACTTCATAGGGGCTGAAGACTTCACTGTTTCTTTGATGCACTCTTTATCTTCAAGTATTGTTGACACAGTGGAATGGGAGAGCTGAAGATCACGAGAAATGCTGTTTACGTTTTTTCTATCCTCATACTGTTTAATTACATTCATCTTCTGGTCGAGAGTAAGAGCCTTTCTTGCCACAAGCTCCAGTGCAAGATTCCAACTTCTTCTTAGGGGCCATGGTGAAATTTACTGTCCAGGTACATATATACAGTACAGAACAGTTAATACAGTATGATGATGCTGATAGGGCAGGGTAACTCAAAGTGATGCTGCCGGAGTGATGTGAGAGCTCTCCAGTCAAATGTCGTATGGCGGTATGCATCAGCCTGCCCAGCTCTGCTGCCAGACGTACGGTCGTAAGTACGAGTTGTCGTATGTCGAGCAGGTCGTAAGTTGGATGTTAGGCGTATATACTATGGCTCTATATGGTATAAGCTATGGTGGCCCTAAATTTTTTCATGCTTGCACCTCCATAAATTCCTCTACACAACCACATTGCTAAACTTTTTAATGCTTATCAATATTCGATAGTTTTAACAACTACAGAAACAGCAAGTGTAATTATGACAATGTCTGATTCTGGGCTACCAACTGCCTGGGCTTCTGTTGAACTTTTTTGAGTATTCTTGATATTAACCCTTAAACTGTCCAAACGTAGATCTATGTTCACGTGCGGGAGGGCTCCAAACATAGATCTATGTTTCTTTTTACATGCTTTCAAATGGGGGCAATAAAGATCAAAGCGCTACACACGTGAACGTAACTTACGTTAAGAGTAAGGGACACCTGTACGATGATGAAGGGAAACAATAGGCTAAAATGGTAGGGAAGGATGAAGCTTGAGATTCAGATTCATTTATTTCTTTGCAATAAATCAAGAAGTCAAGAAAAAAGAAGGGCAGATGCACCATGTGGACTGTCCTAGAAGAGCAGCTAAGGGGTGTGCAGGCTTGTTTGGTATATTGTATATTCTGTATATCTTCTTTCAACACACCGGCCGTATCCCACCAAGGCGGGGTGGCCCAGAAGGAAAAACGAAAGTTTCTCCTTTTACATTTAGTAATACAGTGGACCCCCGGTTTACGATCAGCTCCCAATGCGACCAATTATGTAAGTGCGTTTGTATGTGTATGTTTGGGGGTCTGAAATGGACTTATCTAATTCACAATATTCCTTATGGGAACAAATTCGGTCAGTACTGGCACCTCAACATATTTCTGGAATGAAATAATATCGTAAACCGGGGGTCCACTGTATATACAGGAGAAGGGGTTACTAGCCCCATTCTGTATATATCTACCTGAATATATATATTTTTGTAATATTAGTTTAAATAACCTGTGAAGAGGGCTGGATAAAGGATTTCAGAGACACTGAGGAGGATCAAATATGAAAGTAAGTATTACCCTAGACTGATAAGGCCTTAATGTAAAAGTTACCCCACACTAGAACATGTAGTGAGAACTACACTATCAAAGTAATAAGGGACAACAACATAACAGATACAAGTAATTATAACTAAAAAGATGCAAGAGCAATACCAATACAGAACAAACAAATCCAATTACATTATTTACCATAGTCCTGAAGACGTTTGGCAACATCTGTGGCCTCGATGCCTGCAGTCTTCTTAAATTCACGCATGTCTAGGATGAATTCATGAGCCACCAAGCCCTTATTGCCACGATACAATACCTAAAAGTAATAAATTAACTATTGAACAAATAATTAATTGCATCAGGGTATGAAGAAATGAACAGCACAGTTATCATGAGCTTCAACTGTAATAACTGATCTTTGTCTCAATTTTAGTATGCAAGATGAGCAAAAACCTTGATTAATTTTTTTCTGTGCACAATCTTTATTTACCTACCAAGTGTCAATGAACTATCAACACCTTCACTTATGATCCTCTTATCACCATCTACAATTTTTCTTTTACTATACTTTTAAGACAGTTCCTAAATGCCTAACTAATTATTGCCCTATATGTCATCAGCATTAAAAATAAGAATTCTTTGAATACACTGGACAAATAATCAAGCATTCACCACTCTTTTCACTAAATGAATCAATTGATTCAGAGGTTTGTGAAATACAATATAATTTTAATAAGCTTAGTCCCTCTTCAAGGAATTTCCTTTACCTTATAGTATTTTTCGAGACGTTTCGCCATGTAATTAGCATTTAATATGGCAACTTGGGTAGCTTCTCTTAATCCCTTAGGGCCCATCATCTGAAAAAAAATCTTTTGATGCTCAACACACTAAAATTCAGTATAACATTTTAATAGAACTGCAATTAGATCTCAACCAAGTTTCCCGTTTAAAGATTTCAATAACTTTTCCAAAACCAGTACATTAGTATACAAATCCTTTTCATTTTCAGAACTATTTTATAAGATAAAACAAAATTAATCTATATAAAACTTCCCTCTCACCTTAACATATGCCCAAGAGATGGGAAGGATTGCAGCAGAGCCATAAGGTGCAGCAGAAACCACACCAAAGCTACGAGCTCTCTTCTGCATCAGTGCCATAGGATCAACAATTGGATGGCTTGGCAGGTATGGCTCCAGATGGCGCTTACTAAATAGCAAAAGATGTGTGCTGGCATTAGTTAACTCATTTTAAAGCAATAATATACTAAAGTGCTCCTAAACAGCATTTAATTATACAGTATAGTACACTGCCACCTTTCATAGGGATTAGATTTCTGAAATAGGAGCTGTTTATGAAAATGTGATATTTGGAGTGAACAACTTTTAGGAAATTCTTGGTTACATTCTTGACATCTTGAAAAAGCCAAACAAATGTTTTTTTTTTTTTTTAATTTTTATTATTTCAGCTTAAATAATAAAAATTATTTTACAATGGTTTTGAGGGTACACACACATTTTTGGGCTCTTTAAAAATGATATAAAGCTCATTACATTATTAGAATTAATGTAGGATGATTTAACCTTGGATAACCCAATAATGTCAATGTGAATAATGAGGTGGAGATTAAGGGATCTTAATCTCCACCTCATTGCTGGGGTTCCTGGGTTGAGGTGGGTGGCTAGGGTTCATAGGCTGAGAAGGATGGCTGGGGTTTATGGGCTGAGGTTGATTTTATATTATGCAGCCAAATGCACACTTTAAAATGATTAAACCCTCTACAACTAAACTAACACTTGCAGGTTTTTCACCCTGCTCACACCTGTTTTATATGATAGGGCCTTCTCCCTTAAGATAGGGAAATTAAGTGGGGCACTGTTCTTTGTTTTCTGCTGTATCAACTCATTCAGCATATTTTCAGCTTTATTTAACTGTACAGATCTATTTCCCATTTTCTTTTAGCAGGTCACAGTCAGGGTTACTCCTTATACAAGTTCTTATATTCTGGTTATTGTCACAAACTGAACAAATTATTGATTCTCTTGCATCCAAGGCACACACTACCTACAACACATGTGCACCATCTTTGAGCCTCTCTATCACAGTTTCTTCACCTAAAGGAATACGTAGTTTCACACTTAAAATTTATTCTTGGCACCTTCACCAATATTAGGCTTCCTTTGGGATGCCATGATTAATATCCAGACATGAGATGGGGTGATGAGAAGAATGGAAATGGAATGAAAAACACAGGAGAGTAATGGTATAGTATACAACTGTGAGGCAACTAGTGATGTGAATGGAGGAAGGGGGAGTACACCAGAGTGATGCTAGGTCTAACATAAAACACAGGAGGCCAAAGGCATGTGGAGAAAATTCTGCTTGCACTACTGTGAAAGCTATATATTTACAGAGAAATATGGAAATAGGATGCACAATGTGAATTGCAATATGTTAGAAATCCAATACCTGAGAATGCAAAAAGTGGCAGTCCACTGTATTTTAACCATATATAGATGACCAAGAGCATGCATAAATCTGAAGTGGAAGGTATTAGGAGTGGGAGAGGGGATAAAGGACACTGAGTTATAGGAGCAGGCCTGTGAGAACATGTTAGGTAAAAGTGAATGGAGACAAGTAGTTTCTAAGGGCTGTGCCGTTGGTGTGTGAGATAACATTGATGAATTGATTTAGGGAAACCAGTTATCCAGGCTTGAGTCCTGGAGATGAGAATGGCAGTGCCTACAGTCTGAAGGAGGCATGGGGATCTGCAGTTGGTGGGTAATCTATTGTGATATCCATACACTTCTGGCAAGATAGTGATAGAGTGAATGTAGACTAACAAGTTTCCATTGTTTGGGGTTACCCAACCTTGGTGAGAGAGGGCCACTGAGGTAAAAAAAAAAAAAAAAAAAAAAGTTAATTCAATATTTTTTTTTTTTAACAAGTCGGCCGTCTCCCACCGAGGCAGGGTGACCCAAAAAAGAAAGAAAATCCCCAAAACGAAAATACTTTCATCATCATTCAACACTTTCACCTCACTCACACAATCACTGTTTTAGCAGAGGTGCTCAGAACACAACAGCTTAGAAGCATATACCTATAAAGATACACAACATATCCCTCCAAACTGCTAATATCCCAAACCCCTCCTGTAGAATGCAGACACTGTACTTCCCATTTCCAGGACTCGAGTCCGGCTATATAAAAATAACCGGTTTCCCTGAATCCCTTCACTAAATATTACCCTGCTCATACTCCAACAGATCGTCAGGTCCAAATACCATTCGTCTCCATTCACTCCTATCTAACATGCTCACGCATGCTTGCTGGAAGTCCAAGCCCCTCGCCCACAAAACCTCCTGTACCCCCTCCCTCCAACCTTTTCGAGGACGACCCCTACCCCGCCTTCCTTCCCCTACAGATTTATATGCTCTCTATGTCATTCTACTTTGATGCATTCTCTCTAAATGACCAAACCACCTCAACAACCCCGTTCAGCACTCTGACTAATACTTTTATTAACTTCACACCTTCTCCTAATTTCCACAATCCGAATTTTCTGCATAATATTTACACCACACATTGCCCTTAGACAGGACATCTCCAATGCCTCCAACTGCCTCCTCGCTGCTGCATTCACAACCCAAGCTTCACACCGATATAAGAGCGTTGGTACTACTATACACTTTTATACATTCCCCTTCTTTGCCTCCTTAGATAACGTTTTGTTTCTCCACATATACCTCAACACACCACTCACCTTTTTTGCCTCATCAATTCTATGATTAACCTCATCCTTAATAAATCCATCCACCAACACGTCAACTCCCAAGTATCTGAAAACATTCACTTCTTCCAAACACATGAGAAGCCAACAGTGAGTAAATCTAATATCATACCAAAAAGAATACATAATGTTTTTTAGGAACATTTCTTGAAGAAACCTAAAACAAGTTAAGAATGTAATGGGATCTCTTACACTCCAATAGGGCCCATGCCTGGACCTCCACCACCATGAGGGATGCAGAAAGTCTTGTGCAAGTTCAGATGGGAGACGTCGGAACCAATGTCCCCAGGACGACACAAACCAACTTGAGCATTCATATTGGCACCATCTAGATATACCTGTTGAGACATATGCAGTCAACTCGCCCAATTACCATTTACATTTCTTTGAAAAATTAAATCCACAGAAAAAAATCCTAGAATATACAGCATTCAATACTCATTATCAGGGTGAATAAACATTTTCTTAACAGATGAATTAGTTATTAACCTTTAGTTCTCCTACACAATGAGCCATTCTGACTTCATTTTAAGAGCACTATTAGCCTATACCATAAATTCACGCACCTAACTTTTATTCATCAATACATATTCAACTTTTCTATTGTACAGAGTAATGCAGTTATCATAAGGTAGCTTATCACTGAGGCAGAGTGATCCAAAAGAGGAAATACTCATGCTGTCACTCATTTAAGCACTGTCTTGCCAGAAGTGTGCTGACATTGCAGTTCAGACGGCCCTCTGAACTGCAACAATCCAAACCCTCCATTAGAGTGAGGGCACTGTACTTCCCATTTCCAGGACTCATGTCTGGATAACCAGTTTTCCCTGAATTCTTTTAGAAATGTGACCCTGCTCTTACTCCAAATCATGTCATCATAAAAATTACTTGTCTCCACTTACTGCGATCAAACACCCTCGAAAAGCCTGCTGAATGCTCAAGCCATTAGCACTCAAAACCTTTACCCCCTCCGTCCAAACCTTCTTGAGATGACCCATATCCTTTTTTTCTTCCCTCGATTTTATGCCCTCCATCCTCTTTAAGTGCCCTGACCACATCAACAACCAATCAGCCCTCTGAACTATACTTTTGGTAGCTCCATATCTTCTCATCCCTATTCTCCAAATTTTCTGTATAATATATACACCTGACATTGCTACTCCCCTTAACACATCTCCACCTCCACCTCGGAAAAGCATAAAACCATCCTTTACACCTATACAACAATGTTGGTACTACAGTACATTCATAGACCCATCTGCTGACAAGTCCACTCCCAAGTCTCTGAACACATTTATTTCCTCCCTACTCTCACCCTCCAATCTGAAATCCAGTCTTTTATTGCCTAAATTTCTTGTTACTCTCATCACCTTGCCTTTTCCAATGTTCACTTTTGATTTCCTTCTTTTACATACCTTCCCAAATTCCTTCACCAACCCTTGCAGCTTCTCTTCAGAATCTCCCAAAAGAACAGTGTCATCAAGAAAAAGTAAAGGTAACAATTCCTGCTTTGTATCTAATTCATTATTTTTTAATCACACACTTCCTTCCCAACACCCTAATATTAACTTCTCTTACAAGACAGATAGAAATGGCTTTTGGGGCTTGACAAGTTGTTGGAGTGTGAGCAGGGTAATATTTTGTGAAGGGATTCAGGGAAACTGGTCAGCCGGACTGGAGTCCTGGAGGTAGGAAGTACAATGCCTGCATTTTAAAGGAGGGGTTTGGGATATTGACTGTTTGGAGTGACATCTGAACTGTTGTATATGGGCACCTCAGTAAAGACAGTGATTATGTGTGAATGATGGTGAAAGTGTTTCTTTTTTGGATCACCAAAAAGAAAAAAGGTCGATGATTCTCCATTGGTAAGTGGAAAAGCATTCTTCCTCCCTAAGCCATGCATGTTGTAAGAGGCAAGTAAAATGCCAGGACCAAGGGGCTAGTAACCTCTTCGCCTGTATGAATTACCAAATTTAAAAAGAAAAACTTTAATTTTTTCTTTTGGTCACCCTGCCTCAATGGGATAAGGCCGGTTTGTTGAAAGAAGAAAAAAAAAAGGTCAAAGATATAGTGTGATCCGTGTTAAATGATCAAGAGATGAAACACATACCTGACCACCAGCTTCATGAACCATTTCACACACATCCTTCACATTGTCCTCAAACACACCATTTGTAGATGGATAAGTGATCATCAGACAAGCTAAATTTTTCCGATGTTTCTCGAGCTGAAAACACAGAATTCGAATTTAATCTGGAGTTTTATTAATTTTGCAGCTTCAAGATAATATGGCAAAGGACTGCACAGTTAAACTATTAATAATGGTAAAATTATAGATCTATAAAATACACAATTCTCAGTTTTTATTAATTTGATACCTTTTTATTATGCATCCCATAGTCATCCTGTGGGTTATAGTCAAAAGATTAAAGGTATATGAGTTCAGGAAATGTTGTAGTCTTCTTATATTTATGGAAGGTGCTAAATTCAAAGAGGTCAAACAGCACTAGGTTATGGAAGATAATCAGGTTTGATATAAGGAAGGAGGTAATGGAAGACAAGTTTGATCCAAGGAAGAAGAGGAAAATTCCAATTCTTTGGAGCAAGAGACCCCTCACCAACATCAAGCAGGAAACAGTTATAATAGGAGTATGTGGTTAAGATATATGATAACACTGTATAACCAGTGATAGTAGAGTACTGTAACATCCAGAGTGACATCCACCCACCTACCTGGTGTCAATTTTGCTTTCTTATGCCAACAAAATTCTGTTAAATTTTTATCAGAAAGACAATGGACTTCTGATGCTAATGACAAAGACACAAAAACAGCAATTCTTCTCAAGATGCAGTGTCACTATGAATAAATATTAAAAAGTCATATCATTGTTCATCTCAAGACCTTATAAACCAATACATGAACCAAACTAATACATAAATTGCAAACCTTAGTACAAAGATGGCTATAATCAATTGATCCTTCCTTATTCACATTGACCGCCTCAACCTTCATTCCTGCCATCTGGGCAGAGGCAGGATTAGTGCCGTGGGCAGAAGTGGGAATCAGACAAACATTTCGGTGACCTTCTCCTCTAGCATCTAGGTATGACATGATGGCTCGAAGTCCAGCATACTCTCCTTGTGCACCACTGCATGAAATTCAAATTTACCAGCAATTTTAGAGAAGCCTATGTATTACTGTATGTTAAATATTATGCATCACTGTAAAAAGAATAGATTAATGGTTGGATCCAAATTGTGTACTTCTGCCCATAGTGAAGAAAATAGACAGCTTACAGAACGTGCTTTTGTTGTAACAAGGTTTCAATGTGTCAAACTTCATTGTGACAGCACATTATCCCAATGAAAGCTTTTTCTGCAACCTGTCTTGTCTTCAAAAGTAAAGGCAATAAATGATGCAACAAAATACTAGTTTGGGAGATAATAATCTTGGAAATTATGAAGACATGTAAGATTATGGTAAGATATGGTAGTAGGTTGGTAGACAGCAACCACCCAGGGAGGTACTACCGTCCTGCCAAGTGAGTGTAAAACAAAAGCCTGTAATTGTTTTACATGATGGTAGGATTGCTGGTGTCTTTTGTCTGTCTCATAAATATGCAAGATTACAGGTACGTCTTGCTACTTCTACTTACACTTAGATCACACTACACATACATGTACACGTTCATTTATACACACTCATCTGAGTTTTCTTTGATTTTATCTTATTAATTCTTGGTCTTGATTATTTCCTTTTACATCCATGGGAAGTGGAATAAGAATCTTTCCTCCGTAAGCCATGCGTGTTGTAAAGCACTAAAATGCCGGGAACAATGGGCTAGTAACCCCTTTCCTGTAAAGATTACTAAAATAAAAAAGAAGAAGAAATTTGTCAAAGTGGGAAGTCTGAATGTGGTGGATGGTGTGCTGAAAGAAGAGAGATGTAAGATTATGATGAAGAAGTGGTGTTGGTTTAGTGAACAAAACGAAGGGGGAGGATTAATGAAGGATAATGGAAGGTCAGTGTTTCAAAAGAGTTAGAGCTGAAGGAGTTACATAAAGTTGAAGGATAGATGCATGGGGGCCATATTATTTGTTCAAGATTATGTGGAGTTAAGGTAAGATTTGTAATGGTTATGTAGCATTAGTGGAGATAGGAGTAATGTAGAGGATAAAGGATTTTGGGAAATGTTGGTGATTGTTGTCTGGAGTTTTGTCTGTGAGGTTAATGTGGTTGGGTTTAATCTATGGTATGTCATGGGGGAAGTGGAGTAGTAATTTTTGGGGTGCCATGGTGTTGTAAGATGGGGAGCTAAATTGAGCTGGGAGAAAGGATGTAGTACACTTGTCTACGTATTTTATGAAGAGATATAAAAGGATGAAGTCACTAATGAATAGTTTGTTAGTATTTTGGTGCAACACGGCTGTGGGTGGGGATAGGTCATGTTTGAAGAGGCAAGTTTGGTCTTATTATTTGTTTAGCACGTTAGAGTCATGGTAAGTGGGAAATAGAGGAATGTTGCACTCCGTAAGAGGCGATGACGTTATTGGTAGGAGAAGTCGGGTGAATAAAGATATGCGGGAAAGGTGGGCTAGTAACCCCTTTTCTGTAAAGATTAGAAAAAGAAAAAGAAGAAGAAAATTGTCAAAGTGGGAAGTCTGAATGTGCAGGGATGTTGTGCAATGATAAGAAAGAGATGATTGTAGATGTTATGAATGAGAAGAAGCTGGATGTCCTGGCTTTAAGTGAAACAAAGCTGAAGGGGGTGGGAGAGTTTTAATGGAGAGGAATAAATGGGATTAGGTCAGGGGTTTCAAATAGAGTTAGAGCTAAAGAAGGAGTAGCAATAATGTTGAAGGATAAGCTATGGCAGGAAAAGAGGGACTATAAATGTATTAATTCAAGGATTATGTGGAGTAAAATAAAGATTGGATGTGAAAAGTGGGTTATAGTAAGCATGTATGCACCTGGAGAAGTGAGAAGTGTAGAGGAGAGAGAGAGATTTTGGGAAATGTTGAGTGAATGTGTGGGGAGTTTTGAATCAAGTGTGAGAGTAATGGTGGTTGGGGATTTCAATGCTAAAGTGGGTAAAAATGTTATGGAGGGAGTGAGGTAAATTTGGGGTGCCAGGGGTAAATGTAAATGGGGAGCCTTTAATTGAGCTATGTGTAGAAAGAGATTTGATAATAAGTAATACATATTTTATGAAAAAGAGGATAAATTAATATACAAGGTATGATGTAGCACGTAATTAAAGTAGTTTGTTTGATTATGTATTGGTGGATAAAAGGTTGATGGGTAGGCTCCAGGATGTACATGTTTATAGAGGGGCAACTGATATATCGGATCATTATTTAGTTGTAGCTACAGTTAGAGTAAGAGGTAGATGGGAAAAGAGGAAGGTGGCAACAACAAGTAAGAGGGAGATGAAAGTGTATAAACTAAGGGAGGAGGAAGTTCGGGTCAGATATAAGCGACTATTGGCAGAAAGGTGGGCTAGTGCAAAGATGAGTAGTAGGGGGGTTGAAGAGGGTTGGAATAGTTTTAAAAATGCAGTATTAGAATGTGGGGCAGAAGTTTGTGTTATAGGAGGGTGGAGGGCAGGAGGAAAGAGGAGTGATTGGTGGAATGATGAAGTAAAGGGTGTGAATAAAAGAGAAAAAGGTAGCTTATGAGAGGTTTTTACAAAGCAGAAGTGTTACACGAAGAGCAGAGTATATGGAGAGTAAAAGAAAGGTGAAGAGAGTGGTGAGAGAGTGCAAAAGGAGAGCAGATGATAGAGTGGGAGAGGCACTGTCAAGAAATTTTAATGAAAATAAGAAAAATTTTTGGAGTGAGTTAAACAAGTTAAGAAAGCCTAGGGAAAATATGGATTTGTCAGTAAAAAACAGAGTAGGGGAGTTAGTAGATGGGGAGAGGGAGGTATTAGGTAGATGGCGAGAATATTTTGAGGAACTTTTAAATGTTGAGGAAGAAAGGGAATCGGTAATTTCATGCACTGGCCAGGGAGGTATACCATCTTTTAGGAGTGAAGAAGAGCAGAATGTAAGTGTGGAGGAGGTACGTGAGGCATTACGTAGAATGAAAGGGGGTAAAGCAGCTGGAACTGATGGGATCATGAGAGAAATGTTAAAAGCAGGGGGGGATATAGTGTTGGAGTGGTTGGTACTTTTGTTTAGTAAATGTATGAAAGAGGGGAAGGTACCTAGGGATTGGCAGAGAGCATGTATAGTCCCTTTATATAAAGGGAAAGGGGACAAAAGAGATTGTAAAAAATTAGAGAGGAATAAGTTTACTGAGTATACCAGGAAAAGTGTACGGTAGGGTTATAATTGAAAGAATTAAGAGGTAAGACAGAATGTAGGATTGCAGATGAGCAAGGAGGTTTCAGAGTGGGTAGGGGATGTGTAGATCAAGTGTTTACATTGAAGCATATATGTGAACAGTATTTAGATAAAGGTAGGGAAGTTTTTATTGCATTTATGGATTTAGAAAAGGCATAGGATAAGAGTGGATAGAGGAGCAATGTGGCAGATGTTACAAGTATATGGAATAGGTGGTAAGTTACTAAATGCTGTAAAGAGTTTTTATGAGGATAGTGAGGCTCAGGTTAGGGTGTGTAGAAGAGAGGGAGACTACTTCCCGGTAAAAGTAGGTCTTAGACAGGGATGTGTAATGTCACCATGGTTGTTTAATATATTTATAGATGGGGTTGTAAAAGAAGTAAATGCTAGGGTGTTTGGGAGAGGGGTGGGATTAAATTATGGGGAATAAAATTCAAAATGGGAATTGACACAGTTACTTTTTGCTGATGATACTGTGCTTATGGGAGATTCTAAAGAAAAACTGCAAATGTTAGTGGATGAGTTTGGGAATGTGTGTAAAGGTAGAAAGTTGAAAGTGAACATAGAAAAGAGTAAGGTGATGAGGGTATCAAATGATTTAGATAAAGAAAAATTGGATATCAAATTGGGGAGGAGTATGGAAGCAGTGAATGTTTTCAGATACTTGGGAGTTGACGTGTCGGCGGATGGATTATGAAGGATGAGGTTAATCACAGAACTGATGAGGGAAATAAGGTGAGTGGTGCGTTGAGGTATATGTGGAGTCAAAAAACGTTATCTATGGAGGCAAAGAAGGGAAAGTATGAAAGTATAGTAGTACCAACACTCTTATATGGATGTGAAGCTTGGGTGGTAAATGCAGCAGTGAGGAGACGGTTGGAGGCAGTGGAGATGTCCTGTCTAAGGGCAATGTGTGGTGTAAATATTATGCAGAAAATTTGGAGTGTGGAAATTAGGAAAAGGTGTGGAGTTAATAAAAGTATTAGTCAGAGGGCAGAAGAGGGGTTGTTGAGGTGGTTTGGTCATTTAGAGAGAGTGGATCAAAGTAGAATGACATGGAAAGCATATAAATCTATAGGGGAAGGAAGGCGGGGTAGGGGTCATCCTCGAAAGGGTTGGAGAGAGGGGATAAAGGAGGTTTTGTGGGCGAGGGGCTTGGACTTCCAGCAAGTGTGCATGAGCGTGTTAGATAGGAGTGAATGGAGACGAATGGTACTTGGGACCTGACGATCTGTTGGAGTGTGAGCAGGGTAATATTTAGTGAAGGGATTCAGGGAAACCGGTTATTTTCATATAGTCAGACTTGAGTCCTGGAAATGGGAAGTACAATGCCTGCACTTTAAAGGAGGGGTTTGGGATATTGGCAGTTTGGAGGGATATGTTGTGTATCTTTAATACGTATATGATTCTAAACTGTTGTATTCTGAGCACCTCTGCAAAAACAGTGATAATGTGTGAGTGTGGTGAAAGTGTTGAATGATGATGAAAGTATTTTCTTTTTGGGGATTTTCTTTCTTTTTTGGGTCACCCTGCCTCGGTGGGAGACGGCCGACTTGTTGAAAAAAAAAAAAATGTAAGATTATATAAGAAAATTAACCCACAAGGATAAAAACAAGAAGTTAAAGATATAAACTGAAGAAGTTCAAAAATAATGATAAAAGGTTCTCCTTGAACAGTGGTAAAATAGTGAAATTGGTTATAAGATGTAGCACTAGAAATTTGCATAAAATATATTTAAAAAATTAAATATTACAGGACACCACAAGTTTGACTCTGCTCTTGTAACCAGTTGGATAAGTACACACCTGTTAGGCTGGAATGAAATCTTGTCATAGCCAGTAATTTCACACAAATCATGCTCTAGCTCTTCAAACATGAGGCGATAGCCAAGGGCTTGTTCTGGCGGTGCAAATGGATGGATCTCCGTGAAGTGTGGGAAACTGCATGGCATCATCTCTGTGGTGCTGTTTAATTTCATTGTGCAAGAACCCTACCAGGAAACAGTTTCAATTAATGTTCATTGTCATTTACAATGTAAGATCAATCATAGTCCTGTAAGCATTTTAAACAATGCACAAGCAAGATAAACCAAATTATAATATTACAATGGGCAAAATTAAAATACAGCAAGATTAAGAACAGTATAAAATATATTAAGTGAAATTTCTCGTTCAAATTAATAGTGAATAAAGCCCTTCTGTTTGAGAGGAAATGCCAGTCGAGTAAATTAAAATCCTCCTTAATTAGAGCAGGCTAACATGGAAGGACTTATATAACAGACATTATATCCATGTCGGGGATAAGATACAATGGTTCTCATTGGCAAACATGTTCCTGAGATCAACTACATTCATATCCTATTACATAACTGGAGATAAGTTTCTGAAGGTTTTTCAAATATATTCTGATTAGCCGGACTTGAGTCCTGGAGGTGGCAAAGGCAGTGCCTGCACACTGAAGGATGCTGTGGAGATGTGTCAGTTAGGAGGGTCATCTGCACACTTCTGGCAAGATTGCAATCGAGTGAAAGATGGTGACTTTACTTTTGTTTGATCATCTTGCCTTGGTGAGAGACAACTACTAATTAAGGTAAAAAAAAAAAAATCTGATCGACAATCAATTTTTATGGAAATACGATCATGTATACATCAATGGAGAGTACACAACGAATGAATAACATAGCAAAATCCAAAATCTGAAGAAAAATTAAAGACTCATTAACAGTTAGTCACCATTATTACTGATGTATGGTGATCTTCCTCTCAAACTTATCACCATTATCAAACTTATCCCTTGAATAGTAGTTGTCACTGAATTTCAGTATTACAATGGAACACCTAAATCTCAGACTCCCTTGTTCTCTTACAACTTGAATACTGTTTGGTGCTCACAGCTTTTTCAAGTCTGGAGAGATAGCAGAGCTGGAAAATGTGTAAGTCATATAATACTGCCTTGAGAACCAATAAAACAACTAAACTTTCACCAATACCTCAAAGTATTAAGATTATTCTCTCTACAATAGAGAAGATAATATGGTACAGTACATAGTTTAAGTAAAAATTACTAGAGGGCATGGTTCCTAACCTACACACTGCTATAACATCTCGGTGAAGTGTAAGATATGGGAGAAAGTGTAGAATAAACCCAGTGATGAACAGGAAGGGGGGTCATGAGTACAATTAGAGAACACATGATCCAGGACTTCACACTACAGGTCCACATTCCTTTAACCGAAAACTCTGAAATCTGAAAAGTTCCAAAAACCAAAGTTTTTTCATGGAGTGTGGAGCATCAGTCATCTCCACATAACTCCAATGCTGTCAGTGCTGACCCAGCACTGACAGCCAGAGTGGCAGGTGTCGGTTGTGTGTCAGCCATTTACGCATTTGTTAATGCTTGGCAGGATGTTGACAAATCAACATTAACAAATGCTTGGCACAGACTTTGGCCTAAAACAATGTTTGATGTAAATGAACCCTACAGATGAAGACTTTGAAGGATTTTGTGTCACTGATGAAAATATCAAACCTCATAACTTACACTAAAAGTTTATCAGACAAAAGTGTAAATAAGTTACAGGAAGCTGACATCGAAGAAATGCTGAACATTGACAATGATGCACCTGTTGTGCATTCCTTGAGTGATGGTGAAATTTCTGAAATGGTGTCAAATATAAAGAAGCATGAGAACAGTAGTGATGATAATGACATTGTGAACACAGGTGAAAAAGTCCCATAGACAATATGGTGAAAATGTGTGATCAATTAATTGCTGGCCTTGAACAACATGCATTTATCAGTGAGTAAGAGATTATGGCAATTTACTCAGTTAATTAGAGATTGCTTAGACAGAAACCTACATTAATAGACAGATGACATTGAAGAAGTCTTTAAAAATGCGGTTTGTCAATCGTCTTGAGAATCATGTTCCTGGTCTATAATTATCCCATTATTTCATTTATCAATATATTACTCTATAAATAAACCTTAGTAGTATTTGTTATCTTCATTTATCCCACTTAGTGTGAGTATTCATACATTTTTGCTGTTTGATTATGGGGTGCTGCCCTAGACCCCACCTTCATTCTGAAATTCGAAAAATTGTGAAATTTGAAACACTACTGGTCCCAAGGGTTTTGGATAAAGGAATGTGGACCTGTACTAACAAATAGAAATATTGCCTTAATGAAGAAAAGCTTACAAGAAACTGGACAGCTTCCTTCTACAGGTACCAAATTAGCAGGGTTGTGATGGCTATATGGATCTGCAGGACACTAGCACAAACAACCTGGCTGATAGGCAATCAACACGGAGGTCATGCCTCAGGCCAGGCTGTGGGGGTTGAACTGTTCTCAAAACCAGACATAGGTAAAGATAAAAACTTCCTCTCCACCTGGTTTTGAGTAAGCTGGATTTCACTGTACAACAATAATGAATATGTACAGGTATTCACTTACTCTATACCAATTATTTTAATTAAAAAAAAATTCTGTATAAAAATTAAATAGGAACATCCACTTTCCCAAGAAAAATGTCCATTACAATATAAAAATACGTTACAACATTCATTTTACTATGAATTACTGAATGAATAAAATTGTGAAGGTAAAATTTACAGGACACAAATATATTAAGAAACTTTCACTTTACCAGAGGAATCATGGAATGCACAAGAGAAACATCCTTGTTCTCCAAGATCTTCATGTATCGGACCAGCTGGGCCTCGGAACGGTGTGTATTGAATATTGGATGTGTGAGAAATTCTGAAGTCCTAGCGAAAGCTGTGTTAGATATGTGCTCCTTGGGAAGTACCACACCATCAAGATTCTTCGCAACCTGCAATTATGGTTTTAAAAAAAAGGAACCTGCAACATGGAAACAATAAAACACAAATGAAATTATGATGAATGTACCATGTGTCATCAGTCTTGATGAGGAGATCAGGCAATAATGCACTTAAGTGATACAAACATTTTAAATCAAGCCAAATTTGTAATATCTTTATTCATTACTATCAATTTAATTCAGTAACAAAAGTGAATATGTACCAGCCACCTATTCAAAGTAAAAAGCTCCAGAAACCAACTAACAAGGCCTGATGTTCCACAATAATGGACCTTAAAATTTATATAGCTATAAATATAGGTAATAATAGCTTTACCAAGACTTAATATCTAATAAATCATGTTACTCTAAATACAGTATCAGCTTCTTCCATCTACCCATGATCTCTGTACTAGATAAAAAAAAAAGTACACTATATATTTCTTTTTTACCTTATTTGTTGTCTACCTTTATGGCAGGATGACCCAAAAGTAGAAATGCATTCCCTATCACTCATTCAATTGCCATCTTGCCAAAAGTGTGTTGACATTACAATTCAGATGACCCTCTAACTGCAATATTCCTGCCTCTCCAGAGTACAGGCATTGCCCTCCTCACTTGTCTTTAATCATCCTAATCTAACACTCTCACCCATGCTTGCTGGAAGCTCAAGCCCCCTACCACTTTAAACCTTCACACCTTCCCAGCAATACAATTCCTGGAAAAACCCTACCATTCCTTCCTTCCACCATCAATTTACACACCCTATTTATCATCCTATTCTGCTCCATCCTCTCTAAAATGCCCACACCACCTCAACAGCCCCTCTACACAATTTTCTAATTTCCATGATCCAAATTCTTTGCATAATATTCACTCCACACATTGCTCTCAAACATGACACCTCCATTGCCTCCAAGCTTGTAATCAGAAAACAAAGAGGTGACTAGCTGCTGTATGCCAAGCATTACTCCGAGAAACAAGAGGATACTCTAACGTTTTGTAACTCTTATATTCCAACACTGACAGAGCTACAAGGCCTAAAAAATAAAAGACACTATAAAAAGTACAAGCAAAAGTATTAAAAGGTAATACATAACAAAAATATTAATGAACATTACAACAATAAAAGGTAGACAAAAATTTGATACAAATGACATGAGAAACCTTTTCAGCACATACTGTAAAAGGAAACTGGAAATAATTTACCTTTAATACAAAAATATCTAGAGATCATGGGTCAGATAAAAGAACAATAAGGTAAGAAAATGGGAGATTTGAAAAAGCCTTCAAAATAAGTTGGATACATGTTAATTTAGAATGTTGAAGGATAAGCTATGGCAGGAAAAGAGGGACTATAAATGTATTAATTCAAGGACTATGTGGAGTAAAATAAAGGTTGGATGTGAAAAGTGGGTTATAGTAAGAGTATATGCACCTGGAGAACAGAGAAGTGTAGAGGAGAGAGAGAGATTTTGGGAAACGTTGAGTGAATGCATGGGGAGTTTTGAACCAAGTGTGAGAGTAATGTGTGGTTGGGGACTTCAATGCTAAAGTGGGTAAAAATGTTGTGGAGGGAGTAGTACGTAAATTTGGGGTGCCAGGGGTAAATGAAAATGGGGAGCCTTTAATTAAGCTATGTGTAGAAAGAGGTTTGGTAATAAGTAATACATATTTTTTGAAAAAAAAAAAAAGAGGATAAATAAATATACAAGGTATGATATAGCATGTAATGAAAGTAATTTGTTAGATTATGTATTGGTGGATAAAAGGTTGATGGGTAGGCTCCAGGATGTACACGTTTATAGAGGGGCAACTGATATATCGGATCATTATTTAGTTGTAGCTACAGTTAGAGTAAGAGGTAGATGGGAAAAGAGGAAAATGGCAACAACAAGTAAGAGGGAGGTGAAAGTGTATAAACTAAGGGAGGAGGAAGTTCGGGTGAGATACAAGCAACTACATATTGGCAGAAAGGTGGGCTGGTGCAAGTATGAGTAGTGGGGGGGTTGAATAGGGTTGGAATAGTTTTAAAAATGCAGTATTAGAATGTGGTGCAGAAGTTTGTGGTTATAGGAGGGTGGGTGCAGGAGGAAAGAGGAGTGATTGGTGGAAAGATGAAGTAAAGGGTGTGATAAAAGAGAAAAAGGTAGCTTATGAGAGGTTTTTACAAAGCAGAAGTGTTATAAGAAGAGTAGAGTATATGGAGAGTAAAAGAAAGGTGAAGAGAGTAGTGAGAGAGTGCAAAAGGAGAGCAGATGACAGAGTGGGAGAGGCACTGTCAAGAAATTTTAATAAAAATAAGAAAAATTTTTGGGGTAAGTTGAACAAGTTAAGAAAGCCTAGGGAACGAATGGATTTGTCAGTTAAAAACAGTAGGGGAGTTAGATGGGGAGATGGAGGTATTGGGTAGATGGCGAGAATATTTTTAGGAACTTTTAAATGTCGACGAAGAAAGGGAGGTGGTAATTTCATGCACTGGCCAGGGAGGTACACCATCTATTAGGAGAAAAAAAAAAATATTGTGGCTAGCTGGTCCAGTGGCTAACGCGACGGTCTGGAGTTTTGAGACTCTGATCGTGGGTTCTATCCCCACCCGTGGTATGGTTTGTTTGCAATCGTGTCATTACGATTTCGTGAGTCATCTTTTAGGAGTGAAGAAGAGCAAGATGAGAGTGTGGGGGAGGTGCGTGAGGCATTACGTACAATGAAAGGGAGTAAAGCAGCTGGAACTGACGGGATCATGACAGAAATATTAAAAGCAGAGGGAGATATAGTGTTGGAGTGGTTGGTATTTTTGTTTAATAAATGTATGAAAGAGGGGAAGGTACCTAGGGATCGGCAGAGAGCATGTATAGTCCCTTTATATAAAGTGAAGGGGGACAAAGTTTTTCTTCTTCTCTTTTTTAGTAAATGTCTACAGGAGAAGGGGTTACTAGCCCATTGCTCCCAGCAATTTAGTCGCCTCATACGACACGCATGGCTTACGGAGGAAAGATTCTTTTTCACTTCCCCATGGACAATAGAAGAAATAAAGAAGAACAAGAGCTATTTAGAAAAAGGAGAAAAACCTAGATGTATGTATATATATATATATATATATGCATGTGCGTGTCTGTGAAGTGTGACCAAAGTGTAAGTAGGAGTAGCAAGATATCCCTGTTATCTAGCGTGTTTATGAGACAGAAAAAGAAACCAGCAATCCTACCATCATGCAAAACAGTTACAGGTTTCTGTTTCACAGTCATCTGGCAGGACGGTAGTACTTCCCTGGGTGGTTGCTGTCCAAGCGAGGGACTTGGACTTCCAGCAGGCATGCGTGAGCGTGTTTGATAGGAGTGAATGGAGACAAATGGTTTTTAATACTTGATGTGCTGTTGGAGTGTGAGCAAAGTAACATTTATGAAGGGGTTCAGGGAAACCGGCAGGCCGGACTTGAGTCCTGGAGATGGGAAGTACAGTGCCTGCACTCTGAAGGAGGGGTGTTAATGTTGCAGTTTAAAAACTGTAGTGTAAAGCACCCTTCTGGCAAGACAGTGATGGAGTGAATGATGGTGAAAGTTTTTCTTTTTCGGGCCACCCTGCCTTGGTGGGAATCGGCCAGTGTGATAATAATAATAATAAGGGGACAAAAGAGATTGTAAAAATTATAGAGGAATAAGTTTACTGACTATACCAGGAAAAGTGTACGGTAGGGCTATTATTGAAAGAATTAGAGGTAAGACAGAATGTAGTATTGCAGATGAGCAAGGAGGTTTTAGAGTGGGTAGGGGATGTGTAGATCAAATGTTTACATTGAAGCATATATGTGAACAGTATTTAGATTAAGGTAGGGAAGTTTTTATTGCATTTATGGATTTAGAAAAGGCATATGATAGAGTGGATAGGGGAGCAATGTGGCAGATGTTGCAAGTATATGGAATAGGTGGTAAGTTATTAAATGCTGTAAAGAGTTTTTATGAGGATAGTGAGGCTCAGGTTAGGGTGTGTAGAAGAGAGGGAGACTACTTCCCGGTAAAAGTAGGTCTTAGACAAGGATGTGTAATGTCACCATGGTTGTTTAATATATTTATAGATGGGGTTGTAAAAGAAGTAAATGCTAGGGTGTTCGGGAGAGGGGTGGGATTAAATTATGGGGAATCAAATACAAAATGGGAATTGACACAGTTGCTTTTTGCTGATAATACTGTGCTTATGGGAGATTCTAAAGAAAAATTGCAAAGGTTAGTGGACGAGTTTGGGAGTGTGTGTAAAGGTAGAAAGTTGAAAGTGAATACAGAAGAGTAAGGTGATGAGGGTATCAAATGATTTAGATAAAGAAAAACTGGATATCAGATTGGGGAGGAGGAGTATGGAAGAAGTGAATGTTTTCAGATACTTGGGAGTTGACGTGCCGGCGGATGGATTTGTGAAGGCTGAGGTTACTCATAGAATTGATGAAGGAAAAAAGGCGAGTGGTGCGTTGAGGTATATGTGGAGACAAAAAACGTTATCTAGGGAGGCAAAGAAGGGAATGTATAAAAGTATAGTAGTACCAACACTCTTATATGGAGCTTGGGTTGTAAATGCTGCAGCGAGGAGGTGGCAGGAGGCAGTGGAGATGTCCTGTCTAAGGGCAATGTGTAGTGTAAATACGTATTATGCAGAAAATTCGGAGTGTGGAAATTAGGAGAAGGTGTGGGGTTAATAAAAGTATTAGTCAGAGGGCTGAAGAGGGGTTGTTGAGGCGGTTTGGTCATTTTAGAGAGAATGGATCAAAGTAGAATGACATGGAGAGCGTATAAATCTGTAGGGGAAGGAAGGAGGGGTAGGGGTCATCCTCAAAAAGGTTGGAGGGAGGGGGTAAAGGAGGTTTTGTGGGCGAGGAGCTTGGACTTCCAGCAAGCGTGTGCGAGCATGTTAGATAGGAATGAATGGTATTTGGGACCTGATGAGCCATTGGAGTGTGAGCAGGGTAATATTTAGCGAAGGAATTCAGGGAAACCGGTTATTTTTATATAGTCAGACTTGAGTCCTGGAAATGGGAAGTACAATGCCTGCACTTTAACCTGTAAATGGTCCAAACATATACATGTATATATGTTCCCTTCCGTAGTGCCCCAAATTTTTTGAGAAAAAAAAATAGTTTTTTTTTTAATAGGAAAAAAGAGCCTATGGTACCCAGGCATCCCCAATTATTTTAATATGGCGCACAGTGAGTGCGCACACCCATTCTCGCATGTCTAGGCGACTCAGGCTTATTGTGGCAATGTTGAATGTATGACAAATAAAACGTATATATACGTTTGGGGCACTAGCGGTAAAAACGTGTATATACGTTTGGACCGTTTACGGGTTAAAAGAGGGGTTTTGGGATATTGGCAGTTTGGAGGGATACATTGTGTATCTTTATACGTAGTATATGCCTCTAAACTGTTGTATTCTGAGCACCTCTGCAAAAATAGTGATTATGTGTGAGTGAGGTGAAAGTTTTGAATGATTATGAAAGTATTTTATTTTTGGGGATTTTCTTTCTTTTTGGGTCACCCTGCCTCGGTGGGAGACGACCGACTTGTTAAAAAAAAAATGTCAATTCTATTTACTCAATACATTTTATCTTTAAGTAAAAAAGAGAAAGAAAAAATAAGCATTACTAACACAATCCTTCTCCCTGATTTTTAATATACTACTAGAAAATAAATTCAGAAGCAAAATAGAGTACTGTACCTTCTCTGCAGTTGTATGTTTACAGTTGAACACCCAAAACAGGTCATCAAGATCATTTTTTTCCACAGTCTCATCCAAGGCAATACCAACCTGGTAGTAATGAAGATCTGAATAATTACATAATGGACCATACAGTAGTTACAAAATATTTATACTGCTATCTAAAAAGAATTGTACAAGCACATATATACACACACACCTCTAGGTTTTCTTCTATTTCCCTACTAGCTTTTGTATATTTCCTCTCATCTCCATGGGAAGTGGAACAAAATTCTTCCTCCATAAGCCATGCATGTCGTAAAAGGCAATTAAAATGCCAGGAGCAAGGGGCTAGTAACCCCTGTATACATTACTAAATTTAAAAAGAGAAACTTTTTTTTTTTTTTTTTTGTTAACCCTTTCAGGGTTTTGGCTGTACTAGTACGGCTTACGCACCAGGGTTTTTGATGTACTAGTACGCCTTAAATTCTAGCGCCCTCAAATCTAGTGAAAGAAAGCTGGTAGGCCTACATATGAAAGAATGGGTCTATGTGGTCAGTGTACATGGTATAAAAAAAATCCTGTAGCACACAGTGCGTTATGAGAAGAAAAAAGCTTTGACCGTTTTTTTTTGGATTAAAACAGCGCCTTTGCACTGTATTTTCGTATGGTATTTATTGTTGTATTCTAGTTTTTCTGGTCTCATTTTATAGAATGGAAGACATATTACAGAAATTGAGACAATTTTGACTGGTTTTACAAAGAAAAGTACCTTGAAATTGAGCTCAAAGTAGCAAAAATGTTCGATTTTTACCAAAGTTCAAAAGTAAACAAATCATGCTATGCATCCAATACACGTCAACTGGTGAGTCTAATATTCTTTCACAAGTGCGCTGATATTATTTATACCATTTCTACACCAATGCAGTAGTCTGCATAACAGTAAATTTTCTATTTTTTTGTGAGAATAAAAATTCAAAGTGGAAAGCAAAAGAATGTAAGAGGGGCCTGGGGATGTGACTAATGAACAGAGGAAATGTTATTTTAGTTCTAGTGAAATAGTTAAGATTTTTGTCGACAAGTACACTGGAATTGGCCGAAAATAGGGCTCAAAGTGGGCAAAATCGCCGATGCGTAAACATAGTCGAGACCGCTAACTTCGCGAGAGCATAATTCTGTAAGTTTTCCATCAAATTTCATACTTTTGGTGTCATTATGATCGGGAAAAGATTCTCTATCTTTTCATAAGAAAAAATAATTTTTTTTTTTTTTTTTTTTTTTTGAAATTTGGGTGACACTGAGAACAAGTCTCTGAGAGGGCCTGTCGACCCTGAAAGGGTTAACCCTTTCAGGGTCCAAGGCCCAAATCTGGAGTCACGCACCAGTGTCCAAGAATTTTCAAAAAAAAAATTTGTTATTTTTTGTTATGAAATCGTAGAGAATCTTTTTGTGAAGGCAATAAAACAAAAAGTACGAAATTTGGTGGAAAATTGACAAAATTATGCTCTCGCGAATTTTGATGTGTCAGCGATATTTACAAATCGGCGATTTTGCCGACTTTGACTCCCATTTTAGGTCAATTACGTTATTCCAATCAACCAAATTCTTAGCTATTTCACTAGTATTACTTCTATTGTATCGATTGAGCACAAGAAATCGCCAAGTCAACTGTTTCAACTACAAAATAAAGTGATCGGAAATTGTTAATTTGGCCAATTTAACACAAAGTTCAAAATATTCCAATTTCAAAATAGGGTCCAGAATGAACAATGTAGGCATTCCTGGCACTAAACTAACATTTCCTCTGTTCATTAGTTATGTTTTGAGGCTTTACAAATAAATTCCATTTTGATTTTTTATTCACATAATGAATTTTTATTCACACCAAAAAATAGAAGATTTACTGTTATGCAATACTGTAATAATTGTATAAATATCATCACCATATTTGTGAATGTATATTAGACCCACCAGCTGACGTGTATTAGACGTGTGAGGTCGTTTGTTTTACTCTTGAATATCGGCAAAAATTTAACATTTCCGCTACTTTGAGCTCAGTTTCAAGCCATTTCCAATGCTAAAACCAATCAAAATCATCTCTATTTCTGTAATATGTCTTCCATTCTATCAAATGAGACCAAGAAATCGCAAATAGAACTATAAAAAACATACGAAAAAACACTGCAAAGTTGCTGTTTTAATCGAAAAATCATGATTTCATTTTTTTTCTCTCATTATACACAGTGTGCTGCAGGATCTGTTTTATGTGGTGCACACATACCACATAGATGTATTCTCTCATATCTAGGCCCAAATGTACCACTCACAGTTTATCAGAGTGAGCTGAGCTCATGGCGTAGATCTACGGTTTGGACCCTGAACATAAAGCCGTAGATCTATGGGACGGACCCTGAAAGGGTTAAATAATAAAAATACATACTCAGAGAAAATAAATTGTGTTTGCTTAATGTGCATCTAGTCTTTTTTTTTCAACAAACCAGCCATATCCAACCAAGGCAGGGTGACCTAAAAAGAAAAATGAAAGCTTTTCTTTTTAAATTTAGTAATTTATACAGAAGGGGTTACTAGCCCCTTGCTCCCGGCATTTTAATCACCTCTTATGACACATGGCTTACAGAAGAAGAATTCTGTTCCACTTCCCCATGGAGTAGTTACTTTATATACTATATACACACTTATTTAAGAGTATAAAATACTACTAAATTTTTTACATTTAGGGAGTATAAGTATTAGGATTTCATAGTGCACTATAATTTTTTTCAATTTACTGTGCACTAATTCAAATTTTTATTTCTTTGCAAAGTTTACAATGTGTGACTGACATGTTATAAGACATCTACAGTGGACCCTCGACATTCGATATTAATCCATTCCTGAGAGCTCATCGAATGTCGAAAATATCGAAAGTCGAATTAATTTTCCCCATAAGAAATAATGGAAATCAAATTAATCCGTGTAAGACACCCAAAAGTATGAAAAAAAAAATTTACCACATGAAATATTAAGTTTAATGCAATAGAATAATTACAATAACAACAATAACAATAGATTAATAACAACAGAATAATTGACACTTACCTTTAATGAAGATCTGGTGATGATTGATGGGATGGGAGGAGGGAAGAGTGTGGATGGTGTTAGCGTTTAGAAGGGGAATCCCCTTCCATTAAGACTTGAGGTAGCAAGTCCTTTTCCGAGGTTACTTCCCTTCTTCTCTTAATGCCACTAGGACCAGCTTGAGAGTCACTGGACTTCTGTCACACAACATATCTGTCCATAGAGGCCTGTACTTCTTGTTCCTTTATGGCTTTCCTAAAGTGGTTCACAACATTGTCAGTGTACAGGTTGCCAACATGGCTTGCAGTAGCTGTGTCAGGGTGATTTTCATCAAAAAAGGTTTGCACTTCAAGCCACTTTGCACACATATCCTTAATCTTTGAAGTAGGCAACTTCTTCAATTTCTCTATCCCCTCCTCCGAAGCAGTTTCCTCAGGTCTGGCCTCTTGCTGTTCAAGATGATCTAGCAGCTCATCAGTGGTTAGTTTGTCACTGTCCTCCTCCACCAACTCTTCCACATCCTCCCCACTAACCTCCAACCCCAAGGACTTCCCCAATGCGACGATGGATTCCTCAACTGGCATCGGATTCTCAGGGTTAGCCTCAAACCTTTCAAAATCCCTTTTGTTTACACATTCTGGCCACAGTTTTTTCCAAGCAGAGTTCAAGGTCCTCTTAGTCACTTCCTCCCAAGCCTTACCTATAAAGTTTATACAATTGAGGATATTAAAGTGATCCTTCCAAAACTCTGAGTCAGTTGAGTTTCTGTGGTCATTACAAAGCACTTTTGAAACATAGCTTCTGTGTACAGTTTCTTGAAGTTGGAAATGACCTGCTGGTCCATGGGCTGCAGGAGAAGAGTGGTATTAGGAGGCAAAAACTTGACCTTAATGAAGCTCATGTCCCCAGAAAGTCGCTCTGCCAAGTCTGTAGGATGACCAGGGGCATTGTCTAATACCAGGAGGCACTTAAGGTCTAATTTCTTTTCAATTAGGTAATTTTTCACAGTGGGGGCAAATGCATGGTGTATCCAGTCATAGAAAAAGCCCCTAGTGACCCATGCCTTACTGTTTGCCCTCCACAGCACACACAAATTAGCCTTGATGATATTCTTTTGCCTGAACACACTGGGAGTCTCTGAGTGATACACCAATAACGGCTTCATTTTGTAATCACCACTAGCATTGGCACACATCAGAAGAGTAAGCCTGTCTTTCATAGGCTTATGTCCTGGGAGTGCCTTTTCCTCCTGAGTAATGTAGGTCCTGTTTAGTAATTTCTTCCAAAACAGGCCTGTTTCGTCACAATTAAACACTTGTTCAGGTTTCAATCCTTCAGCCTCTATGTACTCCTTGAATTCATGCACATATTTTTCAGCCACTTTGTGGTCCGAACTGGCAGCCTCACCATGCCTTACCACACTGTGTATGCCACTACGATTCTTAAATCTTTCAAACCAACCTTTGCTGGCCTTAAATTCACTCACATCACCATTAGTTGCAGGCAATTTCTTTACCAAATCATCATGCAACTGCCTAGCCTTTTCACAAATGATCGCTTGAGAGATGCTATCTCCTGCTATCTGTTTTTCATTTATCCACACCAATAACAGTCTCTCAACATCCTCTAACACTAGCGATCTCTGTTTCGAAAACAAAGTTGCACCTTTTGCAACAACAGCTTCCTTGATTGCCGTTTTCCTGCTCACTATAGTAGAAATGGTTGATTGGGGTTTACTATACAACCTGGCCAGCTCCGACACACGCACTCCACTTTCATACTCTGCAATTATCTCTTTCTTCATTTCAATAGTCATTAGCATCTTTTTTCTCGAAGGGTTGGCACTAGAAGCTTTCTTGGGGCCCATGGTTACTTATTTTGCAGAAACAAGCACCAAAAACAGTGATAATATGGAATATACCGAATGTATCCTTAGATGCACGCACACTGGCTGGCTTGTAAACACTGGCACACACGGGGCAGTTCAGGCCACACGTGGACACGTCTCGTACGAATCGTATCGAATGTCGGGTTTTCCATTGAATGTCGAGGCGAAATTTTTGTGTTAAAATGCATCGAATGTCAGATTTATCGAATGTCGGGGGTCCACTGTATTTCCATGCATAGTTTACAATGTTTAATTACAATATTGATTTGCAAGTGCAAAGAATGCCACTATCATGCCAAGGCATTAAGGTTATATCGAGCACTTTAAAAAAATCAGTTCCAGTTACACAAATTCAACAATGTTATGTTACTTTATAAAATGGTTTACTGTGTGGTGATTCTATCTCTGATCCTCCAAAAATTGCTCATTTCTGACAGTGTGGCCATGAAAAGACTTGTCAAATCATTTCAAACACACAATGAATATGGACTTTTAGAATTTTTAATATAATCTTGTTCAACCCATAGAACTTCCTTCCAGTGTTGACATACCATTCCCTTTCTAAAACATAAAAAAATAAACACATACTGTTTCATCTCTGTAGTAACGGAGATTGATTTCTTTCTGCTGAGCTCTCATTCTCACCTCGCTCATAGCCAGTGTTGCATTAACCTAAAAAAATGACTTTTATAATACACATTACACAAAAATTACATGTACATGCTATATGCTACATACAAAAATAAATGCACTGAAATTTTTTGTACAGGACTGTTGTTAACAAGGAGTGAATTTTGTTTAAATTTATTAATTATATTATCTGCACAATACTTATTATTTACCACTTGGAATACAATCAGTCAGTTTCTAAATTAATTAGAATAAATAACATTAGCATTAATTCATACAACAGATTTTGAAAGCTTACAAATTCTATGGAATTAAAACTTCTTGAGCAGAAGCATTAATATTTCAAAAAACAGCAACAAAATCATCAAAGCTAAGTCCTATCAATAAAATTTTAACGAGAGAAAAGTATATTGCCTTAATTGTGTCAAAGAAGAATTCGTTTTCAATGATGTGTCCCGAGTCTGCAAGTCCTCTTGCTAAAATTATGGCAGCATTGTGGATGCGATTTGCAATGTTCTTGAGCCCTTCTGCTCCATGATAAACTCCATACATTGCAGACATGTTTGCAAGCAATGCCTGTGCAGTGCAGATATTACTGGTTGCCTTGTCACGGCGGATATGCTGCTCTCTCGTCTGCAAGGCCAATCGATATGCCTCTTTGCCATTAGCATCCCTGTATGTATGTGTGTAACCTCATGTATCGAATATTCACAATAACAAAAAATATAGTTAAAGTAAAATCAATACAAATATATTTTTAAAAAGTACATACAATAAATGTTACAAGAGGCTATGTGCCAGTAACCCCTTCTTCTGTATAAATTGCTAAATGTAAAAAGAAAAACTGAAGTTTTTCTTTTACTAAGAATGATTTTATTTACAATTGCATTACACAACCATAGGGTGATGATACTGCCACTAAACATACCAGTATAAAATAAAAAATATAGACAGTAACCCAGAGTTATACTTTTCATTATGGTACTATAAGTGTTCTAGTTTATTTTGCTGATTAAAAAACAGCAGTGTAAATAAAGCACAAGTTGGACAAAGCACAGTGCCTGCACTCTGAAGAATGAGCGAGGATGTTGCAGTTTCGACAGACATACATGTATATGGTGGGGGACATATACATATACGTACGTGTATGGTGGGAGAGGGTCAGCGTGTTAAAAACCTAAAATTAGAAACAGGGACCCTTAATTTGTTTGGATAAAAGTACAACTTTTACATGTACAGGCGGGTCCTGCTTATACAGCAGGTTCAGTTCCAGGCTACTGCTGTAAAGCAAATATCGCTGTAAAATGAAAGCCATTTTTCACTTTTAAATGCATATAAAAGCCTGATAACATGGTTACACTATCATATATTAAGTGAAAAACAGAGCCAGGCTTAAAACAATGCATGTACAGTGAACACATTATTTACCCTAAAATAATTTTGTCCTTAGCTTATAGTGAGTTGTGAAAATATTTATTGTAGGAAGTCTGCATAAATGAAGAATGGGTATAGCTGAAAACTGCTACATTACTGAAACACTGTAAAAGTGAAGCACTGTAAAGTGGGGCTCATTGTACTTCAGTATAAAAAATTTATCACTGAGGCACATCCAAAAGGTATTAATCATTCCAATCCCACAGTTCACCATAATTTTTACATATACAGTACTGTAGCACTAACTACAAAAACTATTATTTTTTTTTTATTATCACACTGGCCGATTCCCACCAAGGCAGGGTGGCCCAAAAAAGAAAAACTTTCACCATCATTCACTCCATCACTGTCTTGCCAGAAGGGTGCTTTACACTACAGTTTTTAAACTGCAACATTTACACCCCTCCTTCAGAGTGCAGGCACTGTACTTCCCATCTCCAGGACTCAAGTCCGGCCTGCCGGTTTCCCTGAACCCCTTCATAAATGTTACTTTGCTCACACTCCAACAGCACGTCAAGTATTAAAAACCATTTGTCTCCATTCACTCCTATCAAACACGCTCACGCATGCCTGCTGGAAGTCCAAGCCCCTCGCACACAAAACCTCCTTTACCCCTCCCTCCAACCTTTCCTAGGCCGACCCCTACCCCGCCTTCCTTCCACTACAGACTGATACACTCTTGAAGTCATTCTGTTTCACTCCATTCTCTCTACATGTCCGAACCACTCAACAACCCTTCCTCAGCCCTCTGGACAACAGTTTTGGAATCCCGCACCTCCTCCTAACTTCCAAACTACGAATTCTCTGCATTATATTCACACCACACATTGCCCTCATGACATGACATCTCCACTGCCTCCAGCCTTCTCCTCGCTGCAACATTCATCACCCATGCTTCACACCCATATAAGAGCGTTGGTAAAACTATACTCTCATACATTCCCCTCTTTGCCTCCAAGGACAAAGTTCTTTGTCTCCACAGACTCCTAAGTGCACCACTACCCTTTCCCCTCATCAATTCTATGATTCACTTCATCTTTCATAGACCCATCCGCTGACACGTCCACTCCAAATATCTGAATACATTCACCTCCTCCATACTCTCCCCCTCCAATCTGATATCCAATCTTTCATCCCCTAATCTTTTTGTTATCCTCATAACCTTACTCTTTCCTGTATTCACCTTTAATTTTCTTCTTTTGCACACCCTACCAAATTCTTTCCACCAACTCTGCAACTTCTCTTCAGAATCTCCCAAGAGCCAGTGTCATCAGCAAAGAGCAACTGTGACAACTCCCACTTTATGTGTGATTCTTTATCTTTTAACTCCACCCTCTTCCAAAGACCCTCGCATTCACTTCTCTTACAACCCCATCAAATTAATATATTAAACAACCACGGTGACATCACACATCCTTGTCTAAGGCCTACTTTTACTGGAAATAATTTCCCTCTTTCCTACATACTCTAACTTGAGCCTCACTATCCTCGTAAAAACTCTTCTCTGCTTTCAGTAACCTACCTCCTACACCATACACCTGCAACATCTGCCACATTGCCCCCCTATCCACCCTGTCATACGCCTTTTCCAAATCCATAAATGCCACAAAGACCTCTTTAGCCTTATCTAAATACTGTTCACTTATATGTTTCACTGTAAACACCTGGTCCACACACCCCCTACCTTTCCTAAAGCCTCCTTGTTCATCTGCTATCCTATTCTCCGTCTTACTCTTAATTCTTTCAATAATAACTCTACCATACACTTTACCTTGCTTACCTTGTGACTCCTATCATCCTACCAGGCATCAGCCGCACAAGGGGAGTCTTGCAAGCAAAGAAACCAGCATGAGGCCCTCCATACCCTAAGGGAACACCAAGCCTTTGAGATGTCCCCACTGCAATATCCACACCTAATTCCCCAGGAGGACGAAGAATGGTCAGAGCCAAGAGATCTGTAGCACAAACTACCATGGTCTGCAGTGAAGAGAGTTTAGAAATAAAATAATATTAAAGCCTATTAATTATAAGTCAAAAAGCAAAGAAATATTTCTTCAAGCATGTCCTCTGTCTTAGATCGATGACATTTAAATTATAAATCTGTTTTACTTTTATCGTCTCTAACATTAAAAAACAAGGTTGACTAGATGTAAGGTAGCCTGTTTTTTTCCTTCAGTTGACATGTGAAGTGACCTATAATATGACCACTGTACAATCAAATCATCAAATTTAAGGTTACGTTTTCAGAGGTCTTGTGACTCTTGAACTTGACTAAACTGTTCATAAATTGAAAAATATTCATTGAAATGAACCTGTAATATATAATAGTTTGTATATTAGAGGGAATATAAAAAAGTATTTTCTTTCACTCTCATTGCACACAAAAATCTTAAATAATTTTTATGAGAGATACTCTTAAACAACCTTGTATAGTGTATAAGCAAATGTTGTAAAATATGAAGCTCATGAATTTGGAAGTTCAACTGTGTTATTTAGTGTACCTACATAATCTGGTCTGTCATGAGAGACTATTCTCAGTTATCATAGCATCCTTTCTAAAAAAAATTTACAATACACACAATCAACAGCATATTTAATATCACGGCTGTTTTTTTCCTGCCTACTGATAACATTTCACAGTATCATGAATGTTAATAATAATAATAATAACAATAATAATATTAAACCTATGTATTTCTAAAAGTACATGTACAACGTATACAGGCCTAGTCAACATCAATGACATACTGTACTACTATATAAAAAGACCCTTCTTATGCAGAGCATTTTGGACAAATTAGGTCAAATATGTCCCTAGGATGCAACCCACACCAGTCAGCAAACACTCGGGTACCTATTTTACTGACAGGTGAACAAGGAAACACGTCCTAATGTTTCCATCCATACCATGGATTGAACCACAGACCTCAGTGTGTGAGCTGAGTGCACTAGCAACTAAGCAACTGCAATTTAGCTTCATTGTCTAATAATTCTTTAATGATTATATATATCATGTAATTAATAAAGAGTAATTTTAATAGAAAATTAAGTCTCTAATACAGTTAGCAGACTGTGTTATCACAGTTTAAACATGATTACATTATTATTCCTATAATAAAATATTAATTTAAGTGCTTGCCCATTGGATTGTTATTGCCATCTCTACAACCATACATAATGTAAACATTACATAACACTGTATAAATGTGATTTTACCTCACTGGCTGTCTCTCACCAAGATAGGGTGAGAAAATAAAAATCTTCATCCACTCAGTCGCTATCTTGTTAGAAGTGTGCTGACATCACAAATTTGATAACCTTCCAACTGACATCCCCACCTGACCTTCAGAGTGCAGGTACCACCTTTCCCAATTTCAGAACTCAAGTCTGGGGAAACCCCAGATCTCTTCATAAATGTTACCTTGCTCACACCCTTACAGTACCATCTAATAAAAACCCACTTGTCTCCATTCACTCCTGTAACACACACACACACACACACACACACACACAATCCTGCTGGATGCTAAAGCCCCTCCACTCAAAACCACTTTTACTACCTACCTTGAACTATTCCTATTACAACCCCTGCTCTTCCTTCCTCTCCATCTCAAATTTATACACTCTCATCATCCTATTCCTCTACATACTCTCTAAATGCCCAAACCACCTCAACAACCCCTCCTCAGCTCTCTGACTTATACCCTCATTATTATTATAAACATGGGAGAGAACTAAACCCATAAGGATTATACAGCACCTGTGGGGGAGGGAGGGAAGGAGGAATGGAGGGTATTCAGGCTCAATTCAGGAAACTGGAGCACAGATCCAATTCCTAGATCAAGAGCCCATCACCAGCATCAAGGAACCTCCCTTGAGGAGACTTAAACCCTCAGTCAGCCCCCCCTGTCTCAATCTGTACATAAGGAATTTTCTGCACAATATTCACACAACACACTGCTCTCAATCATGACATCTCTACTGCCTCTAGCCTCCTCTCTACTGCACATCCATATCAAATTTTAGGTTAATCATAGAAGTGATGAAGGGAAAAAGGTGAATGGTGTGGTGAGGCATCTGTGGAGACAAAGAACGTTATCCATGGAGTCAAAGAAGGGAATGTACAAGAATATAGTGGTACCAACACTCCTTTATGGGTGTGAAGCATGGGTTGCAAATGCTGCAGCAAGGAGGCAGCTGGAGGCAGTGGAGATATTGTGTCTAAGGGTGTGTGGGTGTGTGTGGGGTGTGTGTGTTGTGTGTGGGTGTGTGTGTGGGTGTGTGTGGGTGTGTTGTGGGGTGTGTGTGGGTGTGTGTGTGGTTGGTGTGTGGGTGTGTGTGGGGTGGGTGGTTTTTTTTTGGTTTTTTTGGGGGTGGGTGGGTGTTGTGTGGGGTGTGTGGGGGGGT